AAATCAATAAGTCCCCATAAACCCCCAAATTAAATATATAAATAATGACTGAAAGAACTAGAATTTAGAGAGAAGGTTATCGTATCTCAGATTGTGTGATATTGTGTATGATGAGATATTAAGTTTTATCACTCCAGTTATCGATCAGGCTTATAAGTACTACATTCCTACTAGAATTACTCAGCATCATCCATTATATTAATGAAACCATTAAAGAAGTTTCTGGTAAAATGTATTATTCATAAGTACAACTATCAAGAAGAATTTCCTATTCTCAAGGCGTGAACACAATACTATGTGCCAAAACGAATGGGTTAACATGTCCATTGCATGAAGGAAGTTTGTCTGTAAACATCATAAAGTAGTGATATATTCCTCCTTTTTCAAAAGTACAACAATTTCTAGATTGTATTCAATGTATTCTTTGTAAATTTGAAAGAATTATACACATATATGTTTCATGTAATTTCTTTTGTTTCACAATTTATACATGTATTACTTTTATTGTATTACAAAGTCATACCAATTTACATTATTTATCATGATAATGCATTTCAAATTTAGTGATACTTTTCATTGACTGTTATAGTATATTTGCTGAGGAGGAAATATAAAAATCCAATATCGTTTCAAACATGACCTTGGTAAGGTATAAAAGTTCGGTGAACAAGTTTCACCAGAAAGTATATCAGGAGTCACTCTACTCATGATACATAGAGTAGGTAAAAATGACACATTCTCTGCTTTCAATAGGTTTCAGTTACTCAAAGTCATGTTCAAATCAACAGTGGAGATGGATCACATTCTGAGGAATGCTGATAGACTGAAGTGTTCGAGCGTGAAGATTTGGCTCTTACTGATCGAAACAAAAATTAGAAGCAGAAGCAGAACTAAAATCCAGATTAGCATTAGGAGAGCAAGTTCTAAAAGTGATGGGTTTTCTGGCAGTGAGCCTTCGACAAAAAATGATGCCAAAGCCTCTACGGATAGCACGAAAACTCATTTTAGTGGTTTCATCGTCCTTTACACAAATGTACGTGGTCTCCTAAACAAGTGGACTGGGCTTAGTAATGTTATGAGAATAGAAAGTCTTGGTATCATTGCTATTTCAGAAACTTAGCTCTCTTCTGATATTAGTGACAGTGGAACACACTTACGAGGATTCGTTCCTTTTCAGAAGTGATAGGTTACGAATACCTTAACTGTAAAAGCCTTAGGAAAGGTTGCACACTAAAATAGGGACATGAAATGCTGCACTACCAACTAAAATACAAGGGAAAAGATGTTAACATAATCCTAGTTTATCGAAGCCTTGGATGTGAGGTAGAAAACTTCTTCCTGAATAAGCTTACCCTCTGGACAAATAACTGTTGAGGTCTAATGGTAGGAGACTTCAGCGCACCATCAGTTATCTGTACAATGACTGACTGACAAAATCAACGTAGGACCTCACCCACAGGTACATCCCACCCACTTGCTACACTTTACAGTATTACACAAAGAAGAGGTGGATCCTAAAAAATATCAAATGAATCGGTCAGACTAACAACTGAAGCATTATGTATTTCAGTCGATCATAGGTAAGGGGAAACATCAATTTCTTTGGTTCTTGCACAGTGCCTTAGGGAACCAACTAGATAAGATCATCGGCATGCTCCATCAGTTCTAGACCTAGTATTTTTACACACATGATGCATGCTACATCCTACACCTTGCAATGCTTGGTAAGAGTGGTCTTGCCTAGGCTACACTGCAACATTTGGAGAGGTTATTTTTTATCTGAACTAGAGGAATAAGACGTATCGTGGTATACCTTTCATAATCAAGGAGACATACGTTGACTGTTTAATTGAAGACGATAAGGAAAAAGCAGAATCTATGGCTGGATATTTTGCTGAGATTTTTACACAGGAACCTTCTGTGGACACCAATTCAACAGTGGATAAACAGACTTCCAACGGGATAAACTCTGTAGACATCGACTGCAATGATCTATTCAAGACATTAAGTACTCACAGTGTAGAAAAATCAAAAAAAACTGGATGACTTGCATCCAAGGCTGCTAAAAGAGCTTGGAATCTTTGTAGCCGGCTTATTCACAAATATATTTAGACTGTCCCTCAGTGAAGGCAAATTTCCCTACGATTAGAAGGATGCCATAGTCACATACATCTACAACGCAGGTTCTACACAGCAACTACCAAATCAGACCAATAAGTTTGACTAGTACTATTGTAAAAATCCTAGGAAGAGTAATCAAAAAAACCTATTAGGGTTCAATTAGAGAGCAATTGTCTTATTCGCAGCGCGGCTTTTGAGGAAATTTCTCTTGCTTGACGAACCATCTCATAGTCAGAGAAAGTTTGGTTAAATTTAAGGTTCATAGGATACCTGTGTCATTTTCATAGGCTTTAGTAAAGCTTCCAACAAGGTACTTCATTGAAGGTTGCTCGAGAAACTGTTAAGTTTTGGAATCACTGGCAATCTACCTGCATGGAACTGGTAGAAAACAAGTAGGTATCAATTCTCAACTCTCCTTTTAAAAGTTGGTAGAGAGCGGAGTGCCGCAAATTACAGCCCTGTGTCCTCTGCTATTTCTCTTATACATAAATGAGCTGCTGAATATTATGAAATCCCCTACAGTTCTCTACGCTGATGATAAAAAAATCTAACGTAAAATTAGGGATGACAAAGGTATACATCATAAAGGCCTAAACAGCTTGTTTACCTGGTGAGGGAAATGGCTGGTGTCTATCAGCGCAGACAAACGTGTGAGGATACACATGGAGTACATAGGTGGCAACATCTACGATGTTAGTGAGGCCCCTCTACCCTCAGTACTGACCCACAATGACCTAAGAGTCAGTAGATTAAGATTTGAAAACCACGGTACACTTTAAATTGGTCACAGCTAGGAGTTTTAGGAAACTCTAAGCATTACCCAAAAAGTTTACAAAGAAATAGTGATATGTTCACCACTTTATACACAACCTTAATTAGGGCTAAGCCAGAAAACCGTACGCAGGTGGCAAATACTTGTCTTTAAAGTGTCTGAGACCTTCTGGAAAGAATTCAGAGGATAGTCACTAACGGAGATCAACTTATAGAGCTGAACTTACTTTCTTTATCCTAACCCAGACAGATGTGAGATCTAACCATGCTATATAGTATTCTAAGAAATGACTTTCAATCCGAACTACCTTACTTTTTCCTTTAAAGTAGATCGGGTCACCTCAGAGCGCGTAGCAAACGACAAACACAGTCTCCGCGTTGAGCAACCAACTCCTAGGACCGATTCTCAGATGTGTTCGCGTTGTGAGTTGACTCTTTCAATAGAGGTCTGGATAAGCACAGAGACTGAATAGGGAAGGATCATTATAGACTCACAGACTTTTATCCCCAAAGAACAAATCTGAATCTGAAGTCAATATTGTAAACACAGGAGATAAATATCGGCCAAAAAGTATGCAGTTTTGAAATCTTAATGTCCTGATCTTAGAGTTAACGCAGTCGAAGCAGGATGAGGAAAAACAATTTGGGGTGTTTGAGGAGATTCAGTGGAAACATGGTAATTATTAGCCATTTTATGCGTCGGGCTCTTCTCCAAAAGTTCCACAATGTCGGTATTACTCCTAACCATTTTCTGTAACTATACTCCAAAACGTGTGTTTCTCTGAAATATCTGCAAAGCAGGCAGAGCTTAGAGTATCTTCCCAAAAGGTTCTCAGAGTTCGCAGAATTAAATGTCTATATACATTCTTCCTTTCGGAACGAAGTCAATGAAGACATTTGAGCCTGGGTGGTTCAGATATTTGGGGTCTTGGTTAGAAGAACCATGGGCACTGTACTATCACCTGAATACAGCACAAGTTACTCCTGGTTGCCAACCGTATAAAAAAATAATTTATCATCGGTAAGTCCATATCAATATACATGTTAATTATTCTCCCTAGGAGCTATTTTTGATTACCACCAGCACTGCAGCTACAGCAAATCTGAAACCCCAGACAAAACAGCTGTAGAAATACAACACTGGCTCCACAACAACCGGGACCGAGTGCGAAAACGGGATAGGAAAGGAGGGAAGCTGCATTTGGTAAGCATTTTTTCTTTGAATACCAATTATTGATAGGATGTTGCCGTTAATGACGTAAGCGACAGTAATAAGCCCTCTGGTCAGGGTTCGGGTGAGCGAGGCGTGGGACAAGGTGGAGTAGAGTTGGCATATGAATTTGACTATGTCAACCTGAATGTTTAACGTTAATGTAATATATATTATTCATGAACGATGTCATAGCCTCCTGTTTTTTTGTATAGTTATGGTTATGTATGTGTGACACCTCGGGTGAACTATATGAGCAACGATGTCTATCGAAGTCAGGGAAATACATACGGTCTGTAATAAATATCAGGCATACCAAGGAAACTGTGAAATTACCTGAAATTTACTTCGGGCTAAGTTAGGAACTGCAGAAAAATCTGCGAAACACTTCAGGAACTGTGGGAAACGTGCTGCATCGCCCTGTTTCTCAGCTCCGATTCATCCCTAGGTCGAGTGGGTAGACCTACTGCATTGGAATCCACCAAAGACCTGGAACCGTTCCGCAAGACCTGGAAGCGAGCGCGAAGAAATCAATTGGTTTACACTAGCTCGTTAAAAGATATTGGATGTTGGATTATTGGAAGTTGCCGAAGTTAGCCCAAAGTTTATGCCAGCTGAGAAAGTCAGAACGCATAAAGATTCGGAAATGAAGACCACAGAATAACCAGGGAGTCGAAAAGACGTTTAAAATTGGAAAAACCTTTCTCATCACCTCTAGTCCACCTGAAGTGTACAGAAAATACTACAACATGTGGTGGAATCGGAATCCTTTTTCATTAGGATGCAATGGCTAAGAACATATGAACACATATCAACATGATAAAACAGAATGATCGATTTGCTGGAAACTATATAACTAAGTGAAGTGTATAACATTAAGATGCTTATAAACTTTTACCTTGTGCATATTTGAATCTGCGCACCATCAGTAACTCAGACGCACCAAAAAATGACCCTGAACAAGTGACAGTAGTACGAAAAAAGAAACTGGGAACGTTTAGTAATTTCCGTCTAATTCTCGTAGTTTAGTTATTATTTATTGGTAGCAGGTAAATCTTGTTTGCTTTCTCGCTTTTAATTCTCGTTTAGCTTTTTCAAAATGTAGATCAATGTTGTCAGAAAGCTACAAATTCCTGCAAAAGTTGTTGATTTCTTTTATGACTTCTTTCTGCACAGTTACCTGAGAAAGGGTTGACTGGGTGTTCCCGAAGATCAGAGTTAGGTGGCGTCAGTACAGTCACCAGAAAGAATTTGGAAGCCGCTAGTAGGCTGTGTGAAGTAAGATAACTGTTCAACCCATAAGATGACTCTTCCTAGGGGATGTAACTTCATCCTGTAATAAAGCCTCCGTGTGGCACTTGCTCCTATGGATAAGAAAGGTGATTTGGACCTGCTGATAGCTCCTTCATGTACTGTTCCGACTAGATTCCTTTGCGGTAGCCGCAACACCACTGATGAGGATGCTGTGGTTGGTGAGTCGCTTCAAGAATGATTATGCAAGCCTTAGTTGAACCATCTTTCTGTCTGCTTTAGCACATTGCTGATACATTTCGTTTGGGTACTTCAGCCTGTTGGGGTTTCCATTTTCACCTAGTTTGACCACCGCCTTTGTTGCAGATCTCTGTTCCCTCCCAAGGGGGACTAATATCTCTTATGATAGCCGGGAAGAACGTAACTTCGAACAGTAGCTCGACTTATATACACCTCCGTATCCCCCTATCCTTTTGTAAACGCTCCTAATATACATTACTTGGCCCAGATTCAGACAGAAGCCATGGCCCCATCTTGGCAATCAGGGTTCTGATAATTGCAGGACTTTCTACAGATCTCTGGAACTGATTTCTTCGTTTACCGCTCCCTTTATCCCTGCGTTGGCAGTAGAAAATAAGAGAGGTGGGGAGAATTTCTTCGGGGGATCGCCGGCAAAATACAAGGACGAAGATGGATCAAGGACTGCTCCCTGTGATACTCTAGATGCCGGTGACCTCCATCTCTTAACTTCGGCGCAGAGTGGTTCATCTTCTAATCAAGTATTTAACACAGAAGGCAGACATGCAATCGTGCTAGCCGCTGAGACGTTTTCAACTAAGATATAATGAAGACACTGCTACTCACCTTTTCAGCGTTTTGGGAGATAACATAAACTGAGTTTCTGTTGCCTGGATAGGGGCCCAATTGTCCCAGGCAATGGTCACTTTGGTGGCACATGAACACTAAGTTCGAAAGTCGTGAGTGTGAAAATTGTTATTTCTACTTGAGATATCCCAGGTCTCATCTGCCGTCAGGCTTCTGATTGTCATGGTTAAGGTAGCAGCTTTTGGACAGTAACAAGAGTTCTTCCTGTCACCTCCACTGAAAATGAGTAAAGGGGACAACTACCTCCGTTCCTTCTAGTGTTTGAACGACTACAGTGATTGCCCGGATAGCTTCTGTGACGACTTGTTCCGTGATAGGAATGTGATGCGGGTTTTCGTTCCCGTGCACATATCGGTTTTTTTCTCGTCCTTATTACTAAGCCAAATTTCAAACCAAAGGCTTAGTGGGCATCCGCTTGGTCTGTCATATAATTGAAACTGACATCAGTCGGTTTCTTATTCGACACGAATTTTGGTGGGAGTTTTGGTTTACTTCGTAACCTTTCTACCTAGCTCTGCCAGTAGTCCTTTGTGGTGCTGCACACCCGATCACTGCACTGGACTCAAGAGATGTGAGTATGTCCACTGACTGACACTTGATCCGGAGCTACTTTAACCAGTAGCTACCTCCCTGCCCCACCCTTCAGCTCTGAGTTTCTCTGTGGCGGTCACTGTGTCAGCTGGCATACGCCATGAAGGATGGTTTCGAGATTTTTCCTCACTCGTGTCCAGTAACTGTGTATCGCTATGATGAGCCACTCGCTGGAGCACGAAGTGCTCGTGCGGTGATCTCCAATCGCCTTTTAAATCACCTTGTTATTGTAGGGAAACATGTGGGGGGCTTCCGGTTGACGGGGGTCCTTAGTCATCATGAAGATTACCACCGACTGACCAGTCCTACCAAGAAGTAGCTGAACATATATGCTGTCAGTGAGACAATCATCGTTCACCATAACGTAGTCCAGACTTGATGCATTTCAGCCTTTTAAATTAATTAACTTTGGGTTTCAAAACATTGGCCTGTCCGGTGAATCGGTCATGTTTGGAGGTGTCACATTTCTCTTCAATCCCTCGTCAACGCCACAAAGACCTACTTATTGAGTGCATATACCGGGATTTTCTGAAAGGTTATCTTTGCGGAAGCTCTCAATAAATATGAAGGGGAATTGTCGCGTGATCTTACTGGAATTCATGAAGGTCCAAAGTCCACTGTTGAGCTGGAGCTTGGAGGTATTAACAGCAAAAGGCGCAAAGAAGCTGAAAACTGGTCCAACAACCTTTGCGACGTTATCACATGTGGCAGTAATGCTCAAATTTGAAGTATAATCGGGTTCGTTACCTGAAATAGAACGTATTCCGGTGGGTATGGAGATGAGGTTGAGTTTACTCTATAACCTAAAGCCCGGAAAATCATCAATAGTCATTGGATAAAGCCATGAGCCTCTAACAACTTTACAAGACTTCATTCGCTGAAAGCTTTCAGAGATATTTTATATGTCTGTAAGTCTGGGTGTGTTACTACTGCGTAACACCTGACCAGCCTTGCGTAAGCCAGTGTGTACCAGCACCAAACCAACCAACACCCTATCTACGTTTAAGTGCTCATAACTAAAGAAAAATTAGAAAGCATGCTACATGGTAAAAGTGCTTAGGCGAGCAGTTTGCTTATTGGTCAGAGGTCAACAGGATAATTTGGGGGAAGAACGTCGAATTAGTCTTTCTACTAATTGCTGAACTGAGGATAGAAGATGGAAGCCAGAGATGAAAAGCTCACCACTCATGAGGCGTTTATTGACCTTACTAAAACACCTGACAGCCTTTACTGTTCAAGCTTACTGGTTTCAGTTTGGATATCAACATAAATGGGTCATTCCAGTACTGCCTACGCAACTGGGGGAGGGGGTTAGAGTGTGAGTGAAGTGAGTACGTTCTCTTTTGAAGCCCGAGAATATAAACATTCTTCGGGGCACTGCACCACGACCTACTTTAATTCTGCTTCATATAAAAAGCTACCCGGAATTCGAACCGCCTGTTTTAGTTGGGAAAATGAATAATCTGGCAGTCTTTGTATGCCATAGCCTGGAAACAGTAGTGGTTTTAAACACGGTTAGGGCCGAAGCATTCCGGGTTCTGCAGTCACTTTGCGAGCCCTCACACACTTTGATGACTATGTACCTAGGGTACAGCTACGTGCGTAAAACGTAACATTAAGCACTGCATACACGCAACCGTTGCTTGATTTAACAAAGAGGCTGGCATTCTAGAGCGAGTGGAATGTTTGCTTTATAAGTTAGTAACCGTACGCTCCCCCCATTCCTTTTGAAAAGCTCCCCGAAAGTCCAAACCGCATAGCATTATCGTATCTCAGGAAAAGAGGTGACTTTGTCCTAACCCTGTCACCACTTATCATATGGCTGTGGTGACTACATGATATGACTTAGGTTATATGTATTTGCAGAGGCTTGAACAATAACATTCACATTCCACCCCGGCAGTGACTACGGCCGAAGTTATGGGGCTTAAAAATGCCCCAAAGGACCAAAGGGGGGCGACTGAGGACTTTGAAGGTCCCTGACTTAACCCCTTGACCATAGCGATGGTTGGCACATATTTGGTCTGACCGTGGCCAAACAAATGTGGCCGTCACGCGTAACGTTTGTGACGACTGGACACGCTATCAGTGTGGTAAGGAGGCACCGGACCGAAATTACCCCTTCATAGCGTGTCACACCTGTGCCTGGTTGCAGCATGTCTGAGTATTATGCCGCGTAAGGCCGATCCTACCTGAGGCCCGCTTAAAGAGGTTGTAAAAGATACCCCAGCGGCTACTGAAATGCCTCTGCCACAAATGAGAGTCCAAAAACAAGTGTCAATGTAGTTCCAAGGACAGTCATACTAGTGAGTGGTTCAAAAATGTCCAAACGATGACTAGCCCTGGAAACGACCTCGAACCTTGGAGCTGCTCTAACGGTCAGTGCCCGCTGTATACGGGGAAAAACGCGTCACACGGCACCAGTTTTTTCTAAATAAGCACCCACAGCATATGATAGCAAGGATATCGGTTGTAGCTCCAACTCCATCATCTTATTTGACGTTGGTGTATGTCACGACAGTTCTCTTCCGAAGAAGAAATCGTCTGACAAACGGCAGTGGAAAATTTTATGCTGCGCACTGGGACTAGGCAGGCTAGGATATAAACCATGCCGGCCGTATAAGGGCAACCATTCACCCAAGGGAAAGCCCTGCCGATGAGGATGACAGTGAGCTTGGCTAGTGAGTTTGAAAAATTAATTTCGCCGTCATACACACTGGTCGTCAGTGGGTTGTCCAGTACTACAGTTAGGCCGGATCGACCAGAGATAAATATCTCGAGAAACGCCCAAAGTGCCGTTGTCCGCGACACAGTGGAACTGATAGCTTGGGATACTAGCTGAGAAGTACAGTCGTGATGTCCGACAGTGCCAGTGTTTGTCACCGAAAATGAGATTGAATGGAATATTGGTACCAGCAGTCTTTGAGCTCCCAAGTCCCGCACACGACAACATTGGTATCACCCAGATTGATGGCTAATAACCTCGGATTCACACAGCTCCTAACCAAAGTGCTGCCAACATGGAATGTATTTAGGCCCAACATCAGTGAGCGCGTTCTTTGTTGTGAAAGCAGGCCAAAATACTGCCACAACAACAAACAGCGGTCGCTCTTAGTCCCGAGGTTGCCATTGCTGTGAACAGATACAACGACGCTCAAACTGACCGTGACTCAATGAAATCTCCTGAAGCCGCTTTGGATAAAAAACCTAATCGGGATGTTTCTACTGAAAATGGACAGCTAGTAGCGATCTTTCCCGTTACACATGACCGACACAGTTCACTAGCACCAAGCCACTCCACGTTGTTAGGAGCACCTCCAAGTGTCTTTACAGCAGCGCGAGGTTACTTGGAGGTATTATGGTGGAATCGGGTGCTCTCCTTGCTGCGTGACCATCTAGATGATAGAGAATTCCATGCAAAAGTTGACAGAATTTTTCTCGACTTGGACATTACTATCTGATATGTTGTAAGGAACTATTCTGGGTTCTTTGCTGTTTCTTCTTTTTCTGAACGATCTCCCATTGAGTCCCAGCTTCCCCATTCTACTCTGCGCTGACGATGCTAAGTTGTAGAGGGCTGCGACATCAAAGGCAGAGGCAGGCGCGCCACCAGGAGATCCCAGATTCTTGCGGAGTGTATGAGTCTAACAAGTTAGACAGACTAGTGTTTAACTTGAATAAATACCCAGCCATATTCCTCCACGTATCCGACTGACATAAAGTATACTAATTTCTCTGCGATACACTGTTTTGGTTGCTGTAGTTTATGTAGCAACTTGGCAGCAGCTTACAAAATAGCCAGCGATCTAGATTATCCCAGGATTAGAATCCCACGGAACGACCGCGTTGACAATCCTCGTGGTAACCCAAGAAGAATCACCCATTAGTGGATAAAAACTCGTTTGGGTCCTTTCGCTTTATCCCCCCGAGTTTCCAGCCACTGTAAAGCACCGTCTTTCGGGATTGCCACTGATCTGTCCATCAACAGCTTCAAAATTGGTTGACAGCTGAGCAGTGACGCACGTCTGACCATCGTCCAGTTTGGAAACAGAATGGGTTGATACAACCAATTAATTTCACACGACCCAGGACACTTATTCCTATACTGAATCCTTTGTATTACTACTATCATCGCGAACTTGAGTTAACCTCATAGTTCCCTGTAAGACACTTCAGCCGGTTACCATACGTCTGGTAGATACATTACTATTTCTGTTCCCACAATCCATTTCGAAATCTTGCTTGCTCCTTCTCTCCGATCTGGGTCCTTCCAACTCTATTATCTCACTCTGTTTATTAAGGTTCTCACTATCACTGTTATCTTCTCTGAACGTGCCCGGGTTTCTCCTCTACACTTGTTCTGCTTCTTTTCATGCTGACTTTTGTCTCACTCCCCCTCATTTTGGCTGGACATCTTTTCATTCCTTCTGTTTAACTTTTACAAATAATCTGAACAGCTGTCTGGTGTCACAACGCTTGAGCAGCCCATCTGCATCATATTCCTTGAAATAATCACCTATTCCGTTCAATCAATATGATATTCTGACGTTGGTTTACGCGTTTTCTTATAAACTTCGGTGAAACATGACTGGTCGCAGTAGATCCGGCTTCTTATGAAGATTTGATCAGTCTTATTCCACACTGTAACGCTTCCGCCATGAAGTATACATGGACAGTACAGTGATGTGGCTAACCGTTTCCTGGATCGTGAAAAATTATTCTTTTGTGATCTTCTACCTAATCTGTGTTGCGGTGTATTTTGAAGTAACAGGACCGAGGCTGATGGTGATGAGGATGGTTTGCCAACACTGGAGAAGTGTCTGATGGAATTTCCCTCAACCTGTTTTTCAAATCATCAGACTGATAGGCTTTTGCTCAGCATCCTCTATAGATTTAGGTTTAGAACTCCAATTTTGTGTGGCACTGATTTTACGAAAATGCTCAAAGCTGGCGTCAGCAAGCTGTACTTTTTAATGGTGATCATGGCCCTTTTAGAACTAAGGCGGTTACAAAAACATGACAGCGATAATGAACACATTTCACTTTGGCCTCCATAAGCTTCTGAACAACTGAGATACGCATTAGCAACAGTCGTAACGGCTTTCTCACTTAAGAAGTTTTCAGGATAGAGCTTGCTGAGTTTCTCGAGCTCTGGCTTGTTATCTGTGTGTTTTTCATAATCGTCTTCCGTAAGTTCCATGGAGTTTTATTGGTCTTGGTGACCAACAGAGAAATTCGGGGTGCGTGTTTCATTCTGTTTGGGACTTATAGGCTGGATGAACTTGCATCCCAGCGAGTGACTTTGTCCCCGCTGAGACTCGAACTCAGCACCCGTTGTCTGCATGGAGCTTATCAACATGACCGTTGGAATGTACGGTGACTATTTTGGGCAGGCATCAGATTGCCATCAGACTCTTCTGGTTCTGACTGCATACGTACCTTGGTTTTGTATATGAGCTTATACAGTCAAGGAATAGCTGTGATAAATTGCCGTGGTCAACTCCACAGTATACTACCTCGATGTGTTTCTGATGACCCGATAAAATGTAAAATGGGGTGCATTTGGGGTTTTCTAGTTGCCTGCTGGTTAATGGATGTTAGTCTGGCCAGTGGACAATCCTGATGTCCATTTGACAGTATGGACATGAACCGTCTCTGATATAGTACTCTACTATCATGCAAAGAAACTATCTCATATGATATGTCTGCAGGGCCTTTGAACCTTCTTGAGGAATTGCGTAATTGCTGGTGTTGTTGCTTAGGCTTGCAATGGCACTCCTTGAGAACTTTTCTTGAACATGTAATATTGGGTTTAGTTTTACAAAGATTCAACCGCATCAAACTCATTTCATCATGTTGAGGGCTATCCACAGGTACATCATGGTTTTCATCAACATGATTTTATAGAATGTCCGTATCATTTATTATCTGTCGATGGGTAATGGGGGGATACTGTCGTCTTCACTCATCAGTGTGACATGACTCGTATTATCAGGCTTCTTAAGCTCACTTTCACCTTCACTAAGCCCATCATAGAAGTATTTGCCGGAAGTCTTCAGCAGAAATTGAGAATCTATGAATGTTGATTCTGGCTTGATGTTACTAAACATTTTATTAAAACCAATAAAATGGAATAAGAAGAAATTCACCCGACTTTAAAGTATAAAAAAGGGAGCCAGTTGGTCGACTGAAGGTAATTTCAATTTTTACACCAAAAGAACCATTACCCCGAGCCTAATACAAGGTAATGATCAATTCAGTGGCAATATTATACGTCTACTGAAGACTTTGAGTGGTTAAGTAACTACTAGACAGTGTCCCAATCGGTAGGTCGATAAGGAAGAAACTGATGAATCGGTCAACCTCCCAAATATCCTGACCTTGTGGCCCTCGGGTGGAATCGAAATGGGAGCCAGGTTCGAAAGACTGCAGAGAACAGAGTGGAATGGAGGCGTGCTGCTGAACCCCTATATTCCATCAGGGACCCAAGGGACAAATAATAATAATAATAATAATAATAATAATAATAATAATAGGGTGTAGAGATTTGGGGTAGGTTGCCCTCTGAGTTAGAATTTTAGTTGGCAAAGGTCACACCGTCATGCTAAATATTTTCATCTATACATCAGAGATCTAAAAGAAAATGAAGTAGTCGGTTTGGTATGGATAATCACAACCTCTTACTTTTAGCATAATCTCATTGGCCATGTAGTCAGTACACGACCGTGTGCTTAATCCGATTGGTTGACTTCCTGGCCCTGGTTTTCCAACACTTTTCATATGTTTAATGCATATGAGTCAACAAATGGGATAAAGGCGACCTTCTTAATTTCAGTGGACAAAAGTGTCAGTTAATTAGAACAAGGCGACCTTCATCAGTTTATTCTAGTAAAAAGGATAAACAAATCATAACCTAGCAGCCTTAACATGCTGGGAGCCGATAAAAGAAATCAACCAATCACCTATTTCCTTACTCTGAGAATATTCGAGGCAACAAATCACTCAGAGAATAATCCACTCCGAATATTTAAACCTGAGATATTTATAAGCCATGTGCCAACTCCTACAATACCGAGCCTCATTGGATAATATGGCTGTATGAAATTGGGTAAGAAGCTAGTAATCCTGAGTTCGTTTATTTGAATCTCGCTACAACTAAGACTTACATTTCAACCTCATTTACGATTCCGTCAACTAGTATTTACTATCTTGCACAGTTACACAATCCTTTCAATGAATATGCACTAACATAGAGGGTCATTTATCGACCAAGTGATTCAGCGACAACTTATGCAGTTGTGGCACTAGTTGACACAAGTTTGCTACCTTGAGGTGGTCCAAAATTTGAAAAGGCGGCAAATAAACTATTGTAACGCATATTAGTTATCCTTAAGCACATGTTAAATAGGATTTTCCATCAATTACCTTCATGTAAACAAAATGATATTGGGTGGTCAGCACGTTACCATTGGGCCATTTGGTTGGTTTTCCTCTTGTTTAACTTGGTTGGTCATAGGGGCGTACTGCTGAATCCCGTACTAGGACGAAAATGATATTGGTTTAAAATGACCTGGAAACCGTTTCCACGATTATGCCTCATATGAATTTGTTACACAGAAAGACTGCTGATTCGGTCAGTCAAACTACTAAAGCTGTAAGTTTCTTCATGTCCAATTTTTCTCGATGCCCAGCACTGACAAAAGTTTATCAGTCAAGTTTGTAGCAGCGTGCCCACTTACCTGAATGGTTTGACACTCAGATCAACTGAAATTTCGTGTTATACGCTGAAAGTCAGTTGGTAGTTATAGTTTGGTGAATAGTTCATTGTCGGGGGCTATGACTTCAAAAATTATTCACAAGGATTCCAAATATCGAGAGAACATCTGCTGTCTCAGAGTTTCAGATTTTCCTCGCAGATGTTTGTCAACAAGCAGGGAATATAAGTCAGGCATACATTCCTGCCGGTACTAAGCTAGCGAGTTACATTTTCAACACTGGTGGCAAATACAAATTTACTGGGAAATGGTACCATACTGTTCAACACAACTCATGCTATAAGACAGAATGAGGCAGACCAACTTATCTCTGGAAAAGAAGTTAATTATTTTATTAGCCACAAAAGTATCTGACGAAATATACCCATTTATTCATCAATAAGAAAATGGCATGCATCAGTGAAGAAGAAGCATTTCTTTTCAACTACTTCATTATCAAGCTGTACAGTCGTATTTACAGTCAGTAAGGTGACAGATAATTGCACAAAGAAGAGAGTTGCTCAGTCAATATGCAAAACATACAATCGGTGGAGGTGGTCGTATTTGTTCAAGTGGAAGAGATAGAAAATGGGTCACTGAATAAGGAGGAACGAATTGATAACAAATGATGAGATAAGCGACAAGTGCTGGCCCACTTACAACGTCCAATCTAGTCAGCTTCACAGGAACATGTGAACTTGTAGATACACATAGATGTGGACATCAGTGGGAGCCTATCCTTCATGCATTGACGAATCAGACGGTGGCTGGAAAATATCAATCTCAGTCTAGCATCATAGAAGCTACTATTGATACGTCTTGACAGACGATTTTTCAGCACCTCGACTGTGGTGTCTCCTTTGAATTTTAGATTCATGGTTAAAATTTTCCTAGGGGCTGGAATGGGATGGGGAGTGGTTCGTTTCTTCAGATTCTAATCAATAATTCTTTTAGGGTATCGGTCGGTTATTAGATAGTGTTGTACTGAGAGTTTCGATTTCAGCATCCACCGTATCTTCTGAATGTTTTCTTTGGATTTTGGAACAGAGTGAGTGAGTGAATGAGATTTCTCTTACAACCAAGAGGTACCCAACTATAAAAGTTAGTGAACTGACCGGTCTAGGTTGGTTTTCGATAGACTGTCCTTTGAATCGAGCCGTGATGCCTTCTGTTTAATATTGTGTCTAGAAAGTGGGACGATGAGTTTAACTCTTCCTGTACAGTGAATTTGATGGACGGGTGACAATCATTGAAACTTCTTATCAGCTCATCCACTGAACATGTTTTGTCACAAATGAGAAAAGTGTCGTTCATGTACTTTTTATACAAATAAAGTTCCGAAATTATTTCTCTAAGTGGCCAGTTTTCAAGCTTTGCCATAAAGACATTAGCCAGAACAGGGCCTAGTGGAGACCCCATTGCAACTCAACTCGTCTGATTATAAATTATATCATTGAATCTAATCTAATGTACAAGTGGAACATCGGTAAATAAAGAAACATCAAGCGATATCATACGCTTACTCGTTACGTTACGTTATCTCCGATGCAGCGAACAAAACCAAATGTGTCGGGAAGACTGTATTTGCATAGATTTAATCTCACCGGTCCAAGTATTTTTGCAAGCCACTTTGCCAATGAGTGATAAGGTGAATTAAGCACATGCAGTACTGGACGAAGAGGAAGACCATCTTTATGCACCTTCAGAAGACCATACAAACGGGGCATTTTTGAACCAGATGGTCTAAGCTGCTTATACATATCTCCTTTTTGTCTAATCAATATCCAACGGAACTTTGTGGTATGATAGGATCTCAAGGGAACCATTTTTCCAGTCAGCATAGCTCGTCGGGTCATTGCGACATACAAGACCAATCAGTATGTCATAGTGGCGACTATTAGTCGGGATGGGTAGTATTATGTATTACTTTACTCCCGGATATAATAATAAGTGAATGACTAGTATTTCTTATCTCTTCTTTTCAGAATTCGTACAAAGCTGATTCTAATAGATCAAGTTTAGTACATTTATACGGTTGGAATCAACAGAATGCATTACTATCTATGTATTGTAAACCAATATGTCGACCAAATGGTCCAGGTATTGGAGGTGGTGGGAAACCTGATCGATTCATATACCAAAAACAAACAAGAATCGGTAAAGAATACAAATTCTATCATTATGATGATCCAAATGCTTATATACTACAGTATAGACGAGATTGTACACTGACTTCAAGTAGTAAAGATAATTATGATAAAGGACCATTAGAAAATGTCAACAAGTCAGTAGTGGATGGAATAAACAAGTTAGAAAATGATAATGTAAGCTGCTTTTTCCTCTATCAAATATTTTCTTAGTCAACATTTTATTCATATAGAACATCATACTTCTTGGTTGGTTGGAGGCAATCGGCAAGAAGTCCTGGATCTAGGGCTTCCTGCCGATTACCTCCAATCAACTAACATCTACCACTGTGCACCACGATGCTGAGTTCCCTAGCTTGTTTGCCACATTGCAAATATGATCGATAGGATTCGGTCTGCACTCAGGACTATTATTTATTATATATATTTATTTTTCCCTTGGGCTCCTAATGGAACATAAGGCTTCAGTAGCACGTCTCTAGTGCGCTCTGTTCTCTGAAATATTTTGAACCTGGTTCCACGACAGCCCGGAAGCTCTTATTTCCTCCTCGCACGATCTCCTCCATGTCACCCTCGAACGCGCAACTCGTCGCTTCCAATCAAGGTTCCACTCGAGTGCCTGGCCTGACTAGTGGTGTCTTCACTCGGCCTTCTCAGTGTATGCCCAATCCGTCTCCACTTCCCTCCAGTGCATATTTATTGGACAATGGGTTCTCGGTTGGTTAGTTACCAGCCAGAGTTCCTTGTTGCTTTGTTGTTTGTTTGTTGTTGGTGCGGCATCTTCATCACCTCTGTCTTCTCTATATTCACTTGAAGTCCCGTCTTCGCTACTTCTTCCGTCAGCTTGTTAGTTTTCGCCTGTAGATCTTCAAGTTTGTGTGACATTAGACACAAGCCATCGTTGGCGAAATCGAAATCTTCTAGGATCTTTTCCCCGGTCCAGTCAGCGTATCCCCATCTTCTCGCTCTGCACTGTTTGTTGCATGATCCAATTCAGTTGACCACAGTCAGGAATATCATGGGCGATAGTAGACAGCCTTGTCTTACTCCTTCCTGTCTTCACTTCAAAAGCATCACTGAGCTTCGCATTGTGAATTACTTGACATGTGGCCTCGTCATATAGTTGTTGAATGAGGCTGACAAAGGTTTGTGGTATTCCGTAGTATTGAGGCAGTTTCCAAACTACCTCTCGGTCGACGCTGTCAAAGGCCTTTTCAAAATCGATGAAGTTGAGGTAGAGTTGACTGCCATTCTGTACTCTGTTCTATGATGATGCGTAGCGTGGCGTTGCAATTTGGTCTGCATATGATTTGTACTTCCTGAATCCAGCCAGCCATCCTGTTCCGGTCGTAGTTTTGAATCCAGTGCATCCTTTAGTCTCTCCAGGATGATGCGGCTTAGTATTTTGCTTTGGGTGGACAGGAGAGTGATTCCGCGCCAGTTCTTGCAAACACTGAGGTCTCCCTTCTTCGGGAGTTTGACAAGGTAACCCTTCTTGCAATCGCCAGGTACCTTACCCTCTTTCCAGACCTTCTGCAATAGTGGTGTGGTGTGAGCATGTTCGCGGTTGTCTCTGTGTCTGTTTTCATTGCTTCTGGCTGGATTCCATCTGGTGCTGCTGCTATCTCGCATTTTAGTAGCTTTATGACGCTCAAGACTTCGCACTCAGGACTAGACAACGTGAAATTGGTTGCACTCCCGTGACCAATCAATACATCATAGTTCTTACTCAATGTTCAACTTAGACCTTGTTAAATATGTTTATTCAAGTTTAAAGCCTTGTTACCGTTAACTCCACCTTCCAGTGAAGAGCTCCACTTCTTTTGCTTACTGAAGCTGATATACCTGATGCGGGACTACTTTCTCCGTTTTTTTGTATGATTTACCTTATTCTGTTGAAACTGATTTTATTAAGTATCCTGATGACACGACGGTGTGTATTCCAGTCGACTCTCTCACTTACATTGCTCTCACTTAAACGGATTCTTGTCTGTAATTGACCAGTAGTCTCTTTCAAATGGTCTCCAGATAAACCCTTCTAAATATCAAACTAATGGAGAATGGTTTTATTGTGTTCTCTGAGTTGGGTTGTTTAATCGTGAAGATTTCATAGTCTTTCTAGACAACATCATCAGCACTAACTTCAGTATGAAGTGAGCTGTCAATATCTCTCCGTGAGTGATTCAGTAGCTTACCCTGACCAACCGGTTTGTGATTGGTTGTTTCCTTCGATTCCTGTGTCATTCACCGACTACATAGATTTTCCTGTTGCCTGTCCCTCTGCTTGATCTCTCACTTTCTGTCGTTTATCAGTTTCCTCATTTGTTGATAGATTGGGTCTATGTCTATATATTTGTTGACTGCTGACTGATTGACTGACCTGAATGTCAAGCTTCTAGGAATTCTGTGATGATATTCTTTGTGTTTCCTCTCTCCATCCAAGACTTCTACATTGTCGAGATTGAATTCATGTCCATAGTAGTTATCCATGTGCATCAGTTGGAAAGAGTGACGAAATGTCGTGGCGTTTTTTAACCAATCGGTGTTCATTTAGACAAAAATGAAGAGAGCGACTACTTTGTCCAATGTGTAGTGTTGACTACAACGATTGCAGTTGATTTTGTAAATGATATTTGGTTTGTATTTGGTCTTTAGTTATTGCATCGTTTGGTCTGCATAATAGTGTTTGAAGGGAATTTGTTGGTTGATTTACCTGTGGATCTTAAGTTTGTGTGACATTAGACACAAATAATTGGCGAAATCCAAGTCTTCTAGGATCTTTTACCCGGTCCAGCGTATCCCCCGTCTAAATTAAGAGAATATATCCTCTATTAAATTATCAGACAATGTACAGTAAAAATTCAAAGGTTACATAATTACAGTTGAGGAAACCCACTCAGCAGATGTAAACTGAGAGCTAATGAAAAGTTTTAAAACAACAAATTTCCAATCACCGTTTCCGAAAAATATTGAGAAATATACATTTCACTACTCAAGTACACCATTCATCGACATCCCAATTACAAGTACTCTGGTTAAACCGTAAGTTCTGTGATATTTCAAAGTCCCTAAATGAGCTTGAAACATGATCTAATTCAGAATTCTAACAAGAATTCTAAAGAACATTTAATTCCAACTAAATGAACTTCTGAAAAACAATAAACGATTGCTTATCAGTCATGACATTGGCTTTGTCATAGTTCTCATAAATCACAAAGATTATGTCGATGAACTGTCATCTATTCTATCAGACAAAAAGTAAATTCGTAAAAGAAACTTTGGAGAAAGAGGTAAATAAATAAACAGGAAAAATGTCCATTGAGTCATAGAGAGGAGATAAATCAGCGAAGAAACATTCTCTCTTTTCAACCATATCCTTCTTCTAAAGCTGTACAATCGTATTCATGTATATATCATAAACATATAACAGTCTATTATAAAGCAATAGGGTATAATTACACCACTAAGCCACCTAGTGCTAAAACAAACTGGAATCAAGAATGCAAAGTAGTTGCGTAATCATCTATTAGACAGTAGAAATAAGGAGGAAGGCAAGGAGTTTGATAAGGTGAAAATTGTTGGTAGATAAGAAACGCAAACACTGAGTGTCTACTTGATAGATAGATAGGTAGATAGATGTAAAGAAGGTGAAGAATGAGACAAGGGTCATAATGAAGGTGATAGTAACAGTAAACTAATTAATCATAATGAAACCGAAAATAAGTTATGAAAGTGTTAAGACCATGGTAAGATGACAGATTGAAGAAGACATTCTTCTCTGCAAAACTGCAGATCAGCTTCTCTAGTCAACACCTCATTCCGAAGTGAGTTAAGGAAAGGTTGCCACTTTAGGCCACCTCGACGTGTATCTACAAATTTACTTGCTCCTTCCTGTGCAGCTAGATATATAGGCCTCACAAAGTGCAAGCTTTCCAAACTTATCTAGGAGCACTATTCTACATGGTTGTCGAGGGGTGAATGTAAATCAATTAACAGTTCAATTCTTGAACACTTGCTCAACTCTAGACATGTACAGCCTGATCAGAATCCTCCTTCAATGTCATTTATCGTGTCATATGGAATAGTTCAAAAGGAGTACGGCCTCGACAGTTGTGAACAGTGGAGGCATTGGTAATTCATCAATCCAAGCGTGATCTCTGCGTCCGAAAGAAGTATGTTCAATCTCTCATCTTACCATGGTCTTAACATTTTCATTCTATACGATTTCATTATAATTAATTAGTTTACTGTTAATATCACCTTCATTATGACCCTTGTCTCATTCTTCACCTTCTTTACATCCATCTACCTATCTATCTGTCAAGTAGACACTCAATGTTTGCGTTTCTTATCTACCAACAATTTTCACCTTATCAAACTCCTTGCCTTCCTCCTTATTTCTACTGTCTAACAGATTATTACGCAACTACTTTGCATTCTTGATTCCAGTTTGGTTTAGCACTAGGTGGCTTAGTGGTATAATTATACCCTATTGCTTTATAATAGACTGTTATATGTTTATGATATATACATGAATATGATTGTACAGCTTTAGAAGAAGGATATGGTTGAAAAGAGAGAATGTTTCTTCGCTGAATTATCTCTTCTCTATAAAACGGGAAAGAAGTTAGCAAAGAATATGAGAGAAGAATTTGTTATCAGTATCAAGTTATTTGAACAACTTAAACCATCTGGTTCAGTAATTATTCGACTCTACAGTCTTCCCAAGGTTCATAAGAAAGATATTCCTCTTCTTTTAATACCTGAAACTAACAGTTTACCATATCATACAGTTGTGATAGGTTGACCGAAATCTTTCAGCTAGTGGAGAAGCAAATTAATAACTACAGTACGCCTGACTCATTCAACTTCATCAACATGCATAGCAGATGTCAACGTGTATCATAAGCCTATGTAATCGTTGGACATTAAATCGCTTTTCACAAATGTCCATTTGACAGAAATAATCTACTTTCTATGTGGTTATATTGAGATAAATAACTCTGAAAACAGAATTCCAGAACATATTCTAAAGGATACCTGGGAGCACTGGAGAGCTGTTTCGTCCTAGGATGGGACTAAGCAGTGCGCACCCACGACCTCGCCAGGGATCGAACCCGCGAACTTCAGGTTCCGCGGCAAGCGTGTTGCCACCGAGCCAGCTGATGTCAGTCTAC